CAGATGCATCAGCATCCTCAACCCTGCAAAAAATAAAAACTACAGATCAGTACTATCAACTCACCGCGGTCCTTAATCTTCTGCTAAGTTGACAGTCTTTTTTATGACAGAAACTAACTGGCATTTAATTACCTACCTCTGGGAGAATTAAAAATGTACGACTAACGTAACTAAGTTATAACAGCAGATACACTTCCTCATGAACAGACAGCTATGACTGCAAAAAGCAACGCTACGGAAGGAAGATACAGCAAATGCACTAACAAAACAAAATGTGTGGGTGAAATCAATGCTTATGCTTTTAGGTTCAATACTGACAATATCTGTTAATAGTATACAACAGTGCTGCGTATTTATGCATCCTGCCAGTCCATCATCTATCTTATTTGCTGCTCCACTCCGATGCCTAATCCAAGCTATGCCTTTTAAAAGTATTTTCAAAAGGCAGAACACAGTCGTGCTCCAAAGATCAAAACTTATTTCAAGGGATGACACTGACCACCTAATGAAACCATCTTGCAAAATCTCACGCAGAGTCGACTGATTCTCTTAACTGTTATTTCCTTCTGTAAGTATACACACCTGTTAGAAAACCAAGAACTGTTCTTATCGTGCATTTGTATTATTTATGCAAGACAGGGAACACTATTGAGGAACAGGATAAATTAAGGAAGCATTTCAGAAAAGCTTCATGATAATATACAGCAGTCTATCAGATTCCCAAGAAAAAAGCAGTCATCTTTAGACCTGTAAAATGACACTGGCCAAAAAAGCAGGAAATAAGTCTACAGCAGGTTATTAGAGTAATAATGTACAGTGTTTCTTCTAAAAAAAAAAATCATTTCAATTAGCTAGTCACAGCAACAAGCAATTTAAATAGTGTACTTAACTTCAAAAATTATAAAATTCAGTCTTGACGTTACACATTCACTTATATTAGCTTCCTTAGAAGCTGCAGCTGGCTTACCAACAGATTTTTTACAGTGCTTAGCAAATATCTCTTGATCTTCTTCAGAACATCAGTTAAGTTACTGTCTGTGGCAAGATGGATACTTGCCTTTTGAAATCTGCTGCCAAGTATTACAGGTACCAGAGTTCACCTTTCTACAACTCACCCCATCTAAACTACAGTTTCGGAATTTACTAGCTAACACTTCAATAACTTAAACATAGCTCTTTCTGTATCCCAAGCCTCATTCATTGAAAAGAAATTCCCTAAACATGATGGTCGGGAGTGGTGGGGGGATGTACACAGAAACATAGACATATCTTCCAAACTCTACTAGTTTCATACGACAGATGTTTCAGAAGAATATGATCAATGATCCAATAGAATAAATATATCAGAGGTATTCTAAGGCAGGCCTTAAAGGATGGAACTTCACTATAAATTCGATTAGTGTCTTCCTAATTAAGGATAGGACCTTCAAACAGCGCACAGTTACTGATTCTCTCCTGCTTGAGTTAATGCAAATTCTAGTAGTAGTAAATAATCCAGACTTTTCTGCAACATACACTAAAATTACTCACTAAAACCATCAACACTTTAGTGCTCTGAAATGAGAAACTTCCTAAGGGAACGGATAGTTTGTTTAAAAACATGCAATATTCAGAGACTTAACTCAGAATGCTGTATGCTTTTTCTTCTACATCTTTCCCACTACTTCTGCTTACTCAAAGCATAAAGAAGGGTGTTTTCCTCAGTTGCTTCCTCCTGACACTCCACACCATTATGACAACAGAATATCAGACAGAAAGAGGACAAACTGCCTTAAAATGAGTTTGCTCTATGTTGCATTTGGCACAAAAGACACGAAAAAGAACGAAAAAGTATTAAATGTAAATTAAAACTTTTTCAACTTGGACTTCCAATCCAGAGCAAGTATGTCAGTGGCATAAGCTGGCTAAAGGGCAGAGAAATGTCACAAGGAGAATTTTGAGGGAACTATGCATCTTTCAAGATTTCTTTTAGTCAGATACAGGATGGTGTATAAGTCCCCGATTAACACATTAATCATACTTCAATACACTATAAAAATATTACAGAACAACAAATATCACATCCGTTCAAGCTGCTCCAGATAAGCCTTCCTTCTCTTAATAGCAGAAAGTGACACTGAAATCTATAAGGAAGTTATTTTGTTATTGTATTTATTTTAATGTTATGTCATAACCTCACCTTACATTCCGCAAAAGCAAGCTGGTAGCAGAGGCGCCAGAGGAGATACAGCCCCACAGCAGCATCCCAGGCCACTACAGGCTGCTAACACGACTGCCAGCTTTCTTTGCATTTGTACCTCAACTATAAAATTACTATTAACTTCATTAATATGCATTAAGTATTTCAGAGTTTCTTAATGTACAGGAATCTGTTTATTTCAAGTAATTCCATCAAAACATGGATAAACTTTTTCTTCATTCAAATGCTTCAGAGGTGGAATGACATGGATGAGAAACCTTTCAAGAAGACTTCAGAAGGTGATGAGACAGATCGCTATCTACACGTTTAGGTGCTAATGGCTTTAAACAGGGAGGAATTGTGACACGATCTTGTTATAGCCCCACTTTTTCTGACTTTTGAATTCAAGGAGAAGAACGATAGGAAGTTCAGGAAGATTTGCAAAGAGATTTCACCCACCTTTTCCTACATTCAGGCTTTCTATCGCCAGTTTTTACCTTATTACTCTTAGTCATGTTTCTCTATACAATACTCAACGCTCTTCTTCATGAGCTCATGCGTTTTATACGGTTCACATGCACATCCACTGCTTTTCCTCACCTGTTTTCTACTCCCACGATTAACAACAACAAAAAAGCCTCAAATCGCTACTTTTTAAGGGAGAAAAAAAAATACAGAAAGCAGTTTACATGGCTAAAATATTTGTACCGTGAAGAGGAGCAATAAAGTAAGCATTAGGTTGTCAACTCCGGGCAAAAGTTCCAGAGAAGGAAGTGTTCACGAGCTCGTGAGTGTCGACAAACCTAAATCTCACGATGCCAACCGGGGTGCCAGGAAAATGCACCCCCGGAGCCCCGGTCCGGCGGGGAGGCTGCAGCTCGATCTTCGCTTCCCAAGGGGAGCCGGGAGTTGCCAGTCATTTCGAGCGCTGGAAGGAGGGGCTGGCGGCAACAAATCGCTTTTTGCTTCCACCAGCACAGGCGCTTTTTATCACGCGAGAGCGCCCGGGACTCGGGGGAGGTGGGCTCGCCGCAGGGCGGGCAGCGGTTCGGCGGCAGGCGGAGGGGCAGCCCCGAGGCACCCGCTGGCCCGG